TAAATTAGCAACAAAAAAAGACCTAAATTGTCTAATTCTTATGTTCTTTTTTGAAGTTTAATTTCTGAGAACTTAAATTCTAAGAGATCTAAAAACTCGAATTTTCTTCTATTTATATTAAATTTAAGGAAATTTTGATATCGCTATACATTTAGAATCTTGAAATTCTATACTTTGAATTTAAAAAATTAACTAAATAACATCTCTCGAATTAAAAACATTGCGATTTAGTTAATTTAATTTTGAAAAGATTATTCTCAAGGCTATGGATAATCATTATAGAATTGACGGGTTGAGAGAATTGTATTTAGCGATTATAGATAGTATAGAAGATAGATTTTTATATTCATTGTAAATATTAGGTATGGGAAAAAGTTCGTGGCGTTACATTTAACGGGAAAAACGCCACGAACTTTTTCCCATACCTAATATTCTGTTAAATACATGTAAAGAAAAGAACGAATCACATCAACAGCGAGTCCATAATTATATATTCCATTTATATATAATAGTCTATAATAATAATCGTATATTCTTCTTGCCTCGCTTTGTCGACGCCACAGTGCATATCCGTGAATTTGTATGCATAAAATATAATATTTTATCAGCAACATCGAATCATTATTGATAAATTATTCTTAAATAATTTAAATTAAAATTATTCAAAATGTATACTTATAATTCATTTAAAATGTCTATAAATCCATAGGTTTATTTCCTGTAACACATACAATCTTACACATATATCTTAAAATTGTTCTTTTATTATGAAAAAAAATTTGTTGGATATGTTGCCATATTTGTCAAAATATACAATAAAAAACAAAATACGTAGATGCCTTGGTAAGCAAGAAGAAAAGCATTTTGTATTGATTTCTATCTCTGCAATGGGAATTCAACGGACACGGAAGTTTATCTCATTCTTATTAAATATATTTATTATTAGATATTCCATTATATATATGTAAATGATATCTATTTGATAAGACCAATAATTCACTGTTTCTAATCTTCATTCCACTTATAATTTCTAATTTTAAATCGTATTCAATAAACTCCTTAAAACCAATATATCATTTATATGATAAAATATAATGCTGAGCATTATTGTTTACAATAATTGTAGAGTCACAAAGTAATCCGATATACAAAGAACAATTATATTCGGATTATCTTGTTTTTAGAATTAATTAATTAAAATTTTATTTTCATGAAGTTTATAAAAATATTAATAGCTATCAGCTGTCAAGACTGATTAAAAAAAAATTTTCATTTAAAAACAATATTAAATATTCAAGGCCTCCACATAGTGATCGGAAAAATTTGGCCAGCGTTTTAATTCTTAACCAATTTTAAAATTTTCTTTTTAATTTTCGAAATTAAATGAGATAAACCTATGCTGCGTAAATTTTGATTACAATTTAAATTAAAAATTGCCGATCTATATTTGTTGTATAATTTTAATTTTTTTCTGTTTCATTGGATCGGCAATTTTTACTTTGGATTGTAATAAAAATTTATGCAAAATGGGCTTTTAGCTCATTTAATTTCGAGCAATTAAAAAAAAACTAAGCAGGCTCTGCGCAATATAATTTGA